CCTGCCGCTCTCGCAGGTCATGACCACCGACCTCGTCACCGCCCCGCAGGGCGTCACGCTCGAGCAGGCCAATACCATCCTGCGCGACAGCAAGAAGGGCAAGCTGCCCATTGTCGATGCCGAGGGCCGCCTCGTCTCGCTGCTCGCCCGCTCCGACTTGCTCAAGAACCAGAACTTCCCGCTCGCATGCAAGCGCCCGGACAGCAAGCAGCTCTACTGCGCCGCCGCCGTCGGCACGCGTCCCTCGGACCGCGAGCGTCTCACGCTGCTCGTCGAGGCCGGCCTGGATGTGGTCATCCTCGACTCGTCGCAGGGCAACTCGGTGTACCAGATCGAGATGATCCAGTGGATCAAGACCACCTTCCCGCACATCGACGTCGTCGCCGGCAACGTTGTGACGCGTGAGCAGGCTGCCAGCCTCATCGCTGCGGGTGCCGACGCCCTGCGTGTCGGCATGGGCTCCGGCTCCATCTGCATCACCCAGGAGGTCATGGCCGTCGGCCGTCCCCAGGGTACCGCCGTGCACGCCGTCGCCGAGTTTGCCTCCAAGTTCGGCGTGCCCGTCATCGCCGACGGCGGCATCTCGAACGTGGGCCACATTGCCAAGGCGCTCGCGCTCGGTGCCAGCGCCGTCATGATGGGCGGTCTGCTTGCCGGCACTACCGAGTCGCCCGGCGACTACTTCTACCGCGACGGCAAGCGCCTCAAGGGCTACCGTGGCATGGGCTCCATCGAGGCCATGGAGCACCAGAAGAAGGGCAAGATCGCCGGCGCCACGGGCAAGGGCGCTGCCAAGGCGGACAAGCTCGCCGCCGACGAGAACGCCGCGACGCAGCGCTACTTTTCCGAGAGCGACGCCGTCAAGGTGGCGCAGGGCGTGGCGGGCGCCGTGCAGGACAAGGGCTCGGTCAAGAAGTTCCTGCCTTACCTCTACACGGGCCTGCAGCACTCGCTCCAGGACATGGGTGTGCCGCACCTCCACCTGCTCCGCCCCGCCGTCGGCTCGGGCCAGGTGCGCTTCGAGCTGCGCACCGCCTCGGCCCAGGTCGAGGGCGGCGTGCACGGCCTGCACAGCTACGAGAAGCGTCTCTTCTCGTCCTAGGCGTACTGTTGGCCATTAGTGGCTCCGTCGCCTAGAAAAAATGGCCCTTCCGCCGTACGGTGGTCGGTGCCTTACACCTGTTTTTAGCACACTCGCATATCCTTTTTTCCCACCTTTCTACTGTACTCTAGTCGTTTTTTTCCTCGCAAGTCATGCGATTGCTTCCGATGATGGTGGTTCGAGTGCGACTTAGGTTGAGCTAGTGGGAGCGTGAGGGAGAGAGGGAGGAGAGAGACTCGGCCGGGAAGAAGGTGGAGTGGAATCTCCACACGGCGGTGCAGCTCGGCCAAATTTTTCCAGTTGCAAAAAGTGAGAGAGGGGCCGGCAGGGTTCAGGTGCAGGCAGCTCTCTCACTTTGCCGTCACTGGGCACGCTCCACACATCCACGACCTTGGTGCGGCACAGCCATCTACATCACCTTCCAGCATCACACGCACGCACACGCTTGGGCACAGGTATGGTGAAGAGCAAGAAAGGCGGTTCGTCGGAGGCTGCGCGCGACCATGCGAGCATTGCGCTTGCGAGCGGCTTCCTCGCGGTGCCCGTGAGCATCGCGCAGGCCAAAACGAGCAAAAAGGCGGACGAGGTGACGCACTGGGTGTATGTGCGCAAGCACGTCTCGTCGGGCGCATCGTCGTCGGTGGCATCGACATCGAAGCTGACCGAGGCGGCTCAGCTGCCTGCGGAGCGTACGCTGTTCATGGCGAATCTGCCTGTGGACACGACCGAATCGCATCTGCGCGACATCTTCGCCAAGGCAGGCAACATCTCCTCGATCCGCTTCCGCCGCAGCGCGAGCGCGGACGAGGAGGACGAGCACGAGGAAAAGGGCCAGGGCGAAGATTCCACCGACGACGAAGAGGAGCATCACCAGTTGGCGCAGGCCAAGGGAAAGCGCAACAAGGGCGTGCAGAAGAAGAGTCGGGTGCCGCGTGTTGAGGCACTGCCCAGTTTGGATCCCAGGGAGGCGATGGGATCGCAGGCGTTGCTCACCACATCCTCGTCGGCACACATTGTGTTTCTCGAGCCGAGCTCGCTCGTGCGAGCGCTCGAGCTGCTGCAGTCGGGCATTCGCTGGACCGACCCCTTCCGATCGCTGCGTCGTCAAGCCGAAAAGCACACCGACATCCCTGCGGCTCGCGCTACAACATCGGCATCCTTCCTCCTCTCGGCGGGCGCCGGCATTCCTCCCGTGGGTCTGGAGTTGCTGCTGAGTCAGTACTCGGCGTGTCGTCCCGAGCTGTCGGACGTGCAGGCGTGGGCCGACTCGCGCGTGGCGCTCTACCAGTACCGCCGCGCCCACCCGCTGCCGCGCAAGATCGGCGTGCGCGGCGTAACCGTCGGCCCCACCGGCGAACTGCTGGACGAGGACGGATTCATCATCGTCCAGCGTTCGGGCAAGTACGGCCGTGCAGGTGCGGCGGCCGATGCAGGCGGCAGCGTCGGTGTGGCCAAACACGACTTCAAGCCAAACACCAAGACCAAGGCGGAAGGACTGGAGGATTTCTACCGATTCCAGATGCGCGAGCGCAAGAGGCAGCAGCTGGCCGACCTGCGCGCAAAGTTCGAGGCCGACAAGCAGAAGGTCGCCTCCCTCAAGGCCGGAAGACGCTTCAAGCCGTATTGAGCCTCGCAATTGTACCACACGAGCGTTCTTTGCCGGATCAGACATGGCGCGTGTGACGCGCAAGTGGGTGCGTGAGTGGTTTGGGACTGGATGTGTGGGTGGCTACAAGTACATGCGCAGCAAGTTGCGTGGAATGGAGGCTGCAAAAGCGGTGGCGGAGAGGTGGCGTGCGGTCTAGTCGTCGTCTGGTGTCTCTCTTCGGAAGCTGGGTGAGTAGCAAAAGGGCATGAGCGGTGCGAAAGTCAGCATGTGCACATGAATGCGTGGGTGTAGATGGGTCAGCGCCGTGGGTTACTTACTACATGTCGATGGCGCCCGAGAATGCAGCGAATGCGACGCCTCCGCCGATGGCCGCCTTGGGGCCCGAGTTCCTGGCGAGAATCGCACCAGCAGCAAAGCCAGCCGCCACTGGATTGACCAAGTCGTTCTTCGCTCTGTACTGATTTTCCCACCACGAACCAACACGGTCAGCTTACTCTTCCTTGTGCTTATGTGGCGGGGGCGGGTTGAGACTCACGGCTTCGATGCAGCATTCGATGCCCGAGTAGAGTGCGCCAACTTTACCGAAACCCTTTCCGGACCGGTACATGCTCTTGCCCGTCTGACGGAAGAATTCCTTTGTGCTTTGCATGGTCGACATTTCCCCCACGCCCTTTGTTGCATCCAGGCCGTTGGCGGCGAGCGTCGTGCGGCGCAGCGGGTCGTCGACCGCAAAACTCGTCGACATGAGCGAGAAGAACGCTCCGAGTCCAAATCCGGCCGCACCAGAGAGCAGACACTTGGTCGGACACGACTCCATGCTCATGTTGGCGATCTTGTTCCACTTGGCGATCTTCTGCACCTCGGCGCGGTCGTCCTCGGTCATGCCGGGCGGTAATGGCTCCGTACCCGGCACGTAGACCGGCGCCATGAGCGGACGTAGATGCGCCATGGCTTGTGCAATTCCAGCAGAGGGCTTGGGTGTGTGATGTAGAGGTGCCGAGCGTGCGTCGATGTCTGGTTTGAATCCGACGCAGAGGAGCCAAGCGCAAGAGACTCGGGTTGATCAGATGCGCCAACGAAGGATGCGAGGTGTCGAGCAAGAACAAAGAACAAACCAAGGGTTCACAGCAGGAGCAAACCGGAATTTCTCAGAGCTCAGCCGTTCAAAAAGCCTCGACTCGCCCCCCCACCTCCGCGTATTTCTCCGAGTCCCGAACTGCGACTTGCACCCTCTGCTCACCAATCCAGCTCTCGCGAGCAGCAGCCCGCACACTCACACACGAGACGCACAGGAAAAAGACGATTGCATTCAGCGGTACAGCAACATCACAGGTAGAGGCCTTCTGGGGTGCCCTCGTTCTTTCGGTCGATGACGCGCTCGCGTGCGGTGGTAAAGTCCTTCTTGGTGACGCGCATGCGCCTCTCGCGCAAGGCGAGCAGACCAGCCTCGGTGACGAGCGACTTGATGTCGGCGCCGGACAGGTCGTCCTTCATGGCGACAAACTCCTCGAGATCGACGTCCGCATCGAGGTTCATGCGCGAGGTGTGCAGCTTAAAGATGTGCATCTTTGTCTTTTGGTCCGGCAGCGGGAACTCGATCTTGCGGTCGATGCGGCCGGGACGGA